GCGGGAGCCTGTGCTCACCTGCCGCTCCAACACTTACCCCAAGGGCTTCTACTGCAGCTGGCATCTGCCCACCCCTACCTACATCCCCAATACCTTCAATGTGACTGTGCTGTGAGTAAGTGAGCTCCTGCCCTGGTTCCAGCCCTGACCTTTGACCTTCCCCCCTCCTCATCATGTCCTGAGTCCAAGACCCCAGCCTAGCGTTGGGCTTGACCTTCCCCCAGCCTGCCCTAACCGACCCTTGATGTTGGTAACAGTACCTGGGCCTCATTCTTTTCCAGGCATGGCTCCAAAATTATGGTCTGTGAGAAGCACCCACCCCTCAAGACCCCCTGCCACATCCGCTACATGCACCTGTTCTCTACCATCAAGTACAAGGTCTCCATAAGTGTCAGCAATGCCTTGGGTCACAACACCACGGCTATCACCTTCGACGAATTCACCATTGGTGCGTGTGATAGTGATGGTGGTGTCGGGGGTGTGGGGGCGAGCTGCTGTATACTCCGAGTGTGAAAGTGTGTCAGAGGTGTACACGAGCATTGGTGGGGATGCCCACACGTATGCACAATGGCACAAACATGCCTTCATATGCACCTGTGAGCATACAAGTGGATTTCCTTACCTGCAGGGCAGAGACTTCTCCAGCAGCTCTTTTCATTGTCTCTTTGGCTGAAAGAACATGCAACAGGGGGAAAGGGGGGCAGGCTGGGCCAGACTCCTGAGCAGCTGCAGCCGCCCCCCCATGCTAATGGCTTCCTTTGTGTCTGTGATAAATGAGGTGTCAGAACAGGAGACAGGAGTAGGACAGACACTGCCCTCACCCCGCCCGCTATCCCATTCGGACCCTCTGCCTGTCCTTGCCCTATCCCAGACAGGCTCTGCCCGCTCCTACCCTATCCCAGACAAACCCTTTATTGGTCCCTGGGACTTGTCTCTCGACTTCCTCTGCTCCCTCTTCCCCCGCAAGCCTCTCAGCTGGATCTGCAGTCAGATTGTGTCTATATGAGCTGGGCTCTTAGATGCTGCCGCCACCAGATCCCCAGCTTACCTCTAACCCACAGAGCATCTTCAAATCTAGACTCTAACAAGGGTGTCCAATCTCAGTGTAGAACTGGAAAAAACGGAGGGAAAGCCAGCAGGGGCAATGTGTGATGCTGGTGTAAGAGGGGTGTTCGGGTGGTGACAGAGGTTCTCGTGGTTGTGTCGGCTTCATCTTTAAGCATGCTTGAGAAAGGAGTTGTGATGGAGGTTGGTCGGAATTGAGGATGTCGCTACCAAGAGCTGGTGACTATGACTGTAGTGACAGCCAAGGTTGACAACGGGGAGGCCAGAGCTGGTAATTAGATGGTTGTTTACTGTAGTTGCCAGAGCTGACAACAGAAAAGAAAGATGGTGGCTGTGGCAATGACAATTGTTGGCAACAGAGATGGCTGATCAGTGGCTGGAGTTGACAGTGTGGGGTTGTTCCCAGAGATTAGCACACTAATGAAGCAATGTCTCCTTAACAGTGAAACCCGATCCTCCAGAAAACGTGGTAGCTCGGCCAGTGCCCAGTAACCCTCGTCGACTGGAGGTGACATGGCAGACGCCCTCAACCTGGCCTGACCCTGAATCCTTTCCTCTCAAGTTCTTTCTGCGCTACCGGCCTCTCATCCTGGACCAATGGCAGCATGTGAGTGCCCTGGCTTGCCCAGACCCTGATGCCGGGGTGTGCAGTACAGTGAGAGAGGACACTGTGGCCCAGGTAGTAGCAGCACCAGCAGGGCACCCAATGGCAGTCTAAGAGGCTTGCCACGGGGAGAAAGGGATCAGGTAGGCTTGGGAAATGAATGGAACTGAGGGAGGCTCCCTCATCAGAACATGCCTTTGAGGACTCCCAGGGTAGTGGAAGAAGTGCTGGGAGGGAGGTGACCGGGTTTCATGTCCTTTTCCTGATGTTCCCTACTCCTAGTCTCTAGCCATCAGCCCTGACCCCGCACCTCCCTTTACACACTGGGTCTGTGATGGACCCCGAGAACAAGATGGTCCCACCCCTCAGAGATTTGCAGATGGGCGCAAGGGGCTAGGACCAGACACTGCAATCAAGTTTGGTCTAGGGGTGAGTTTAGATCATGATGACTATTCAGGCTCCAAAGTTAGGCCTAGTTTAAAGGTCAGTTTAAGGTTATAGGTCAAATAGTAGCCTGGGCTGGGAACCAAGCCGTGGACAAGGGTCAGTATGAGGTGAGGTTATGGTCTGGGTATTGATCAAGCTATGATGGGGAGCTCTAGGAAACAGCCAGGGATTTGAAGACTTCTGGGTATTCTCATATTGAGAGCCCAGGGCCTATTAGACTGTGGGCACTCTGGGTGGCCCCTGAGCTCTGGGCTAGGACTAGAGTTGGGAGTGTTCCATGAGACAGGCCAGTCTGTCTACTGGGAGTCCACTTGAGCCTCACCAGGCTCCAGTGCCATCTCCTTATGTCCTTCTCCTGTCTGGCTTTTAAAGTCTGTAATTTGATTCCTAGGTGCCTGTCCTGGTTGTAGGCCTGGCCTTCACAAAGGCTACTCACACTCTCACGTGTTCCCTGACAGAGTCCGGAGTCCCTCCCGCCTGGCCAGCTGCCCGAGCCTAATGCATTGCTAATAACCAGGGTCTGGTTTCACAAGCCCCCTCCCCCGCTAACGAGCTACAGGCAGCAGCTCTGCGCGTTGCAGCGCACACGCCTTGCAGTGGACCTGGCATACTGCCCACCACACACACAGGAACATACACACACACACACACACACACACACACACACAGTGGCTCCCAGCAGGAACCATGTGCATACGTGGATGAGACCAACATGCCAAAGGCCGTACATTGGCTTATACTGTGGGCAGAACTCACCTCTATCCTGAGACCATGCCCAATGGTACATTATACCTTATTCCATATTTCATAGGCATTGGAACAGGTTAGATCTGTGGCTCTTTTCAACTTGAATTTTGTATAGAATATCTTCCCTGCCCTCGATTTTGAGGAGTAACAGGTGTATGGCTGCAAGAGGAGAGCAGAGAAAAATATCACTTGGATTTTCAGGGGAAATGTAGACTAGGCATCTATAACAAGAATAGGGGCCAGGAGTATGGCAGAGGCTGTCTCAGCACAGACAGGGGGAAGGCAAGAACTGGAACTAGTGGAGGTACCTATGTCACCTGCTCTGGCCCTAACTCAGTGTCTGACATCTACAGCTGACTGAGGAGAGAGCTTCAAGGCTAGTGGGTGGCAGTGACAGCTCCTGTTAATTGAAAGAACCTTTCCTTTAGGATTGGTGACAACGTAGCAAGAAGGGTCCAGGCCTAGGATTGTCACTGCCCAGAGATCATTGGCAAGAAGGGTAGTGTCCTGCGTCGGCCAGTGACCTATTCCCCTTGGCTCTCTCCTTTGTCTTTGGGGAAAGATATGTGGAGGTCTATAGGCCAAGAAGGACGGGAGGGGAGCTAATCAGACAGAGGGAATCTTTATAGACAGAGGAGACTGGGATCCAGAGTTGGGACTGGGGCTGCACCGAGACGAGAGGAGGGCTTTTGGTGCCCACCCATATTCCAGGGCTGGGATTAGGATTGACTGGGCCAGGGCCTGGGCTCAAGTGTATTTCAGTATGACCGTGTGACCTTTACCAGGGGCTCCAGCATCAGGACCACCAACTAAGCAGGAGTTAGACAGGTTTCCTGCTCTGCATGAGCCTGACATGGATGGGTGCACACACACACACACACACACACACACACACACACACACACACACACACACACACACACGAGCACACACGCCCGTACACACACAAGGGTATCATAGACTAGCAGGTCAGGTGGCCTAGACCTTATTTTGAAGATTGGAATGGCCCTAAAGCCAGACATGGCCCAGAGCAGCCCCCTCCTTTACCCCCGCCGGCTGCCCCTGTTTACGAGCGGCTTA